TCCAGGTATGGTACTGTTAATAAAGTACTGATATACCAGGAGAAGCAAGGGCTGGAGACTGATGCTGATATTATTGTCAAGATATTTGTTGTGTTTGCTAAACCAACAGGTAACAAGAAATACTACATGTTCACTGTACATGTACATGTACATGTATAGTGTTTAATAATTGTATTTGCATACCTGCACACTAAGTTAAGTTTAATAAGATTTTGATGATTTTTACACCGTATAGCTTGATATTTTCTTGGGTCGGATATTTTCGTGGTTTGCTCCTAGTGGGGCAATTTGTGGTTTAATTTTCGTGGTTGACAGTTTACATAGCCTGTAAGGGGATGGCACTTCAATGATTTCGTGGGTTTAAATTTCGTGGGCAGCCCATAACCACGAAAATCACGAAATTTACATTCCACGAAAATTTCAAGCTATACGGCATCTTAAAACTCCTAAAATTTCAACTCTGCTTTTGTATGGTTGACTTTTGGATCATTGCAAATGGCTCAGATTTTGCCAAATCCTACTTGCCAAGTTTTATTTGGAAAGCAAAGAAGGAAATAGTCGAAATTAATTAAATAATAATTTAATAATAACTGCTTCTTTTTTGTTCTGTAGAAGCTGAGAGTACTGTCAAGTCACTAAATGGGAGGTGGTTCGGTGGTCGTGTTATAACGGCAGAGCTCTACGATCAAGCGAAATTTGATGCTAACGACCTTTCACACTGAAAGACTGTCAAAATCAAGAAAGAAGAGAATTAAAATCTCTCTTCTTCTCATCAAATTGTCTCCTTGACATTTTACAAATGGATTGATACACACATATGTACAAAACAGACTTGTGAAATACCTCTCTCTCTCTATCTTTTTTTCTCTTTTTTATAAAATTTTAAAATGTAGTAAGAATTAATTAATTTGGAGCCATTACTTTGTGTGGTCAAACATTAATGTTTGAGTATACGGGAATATCCGGAAATCACGAGCATTCAGTATGAGGGAGACCATGGCTATGGAAGAGGAAAGTGTTTGCTCTTTCTCCTCTTGCGTGAGGTATTCCTCAAAAGGGACCATATTCTCCTCCATCTTTAACCTCCTCACGACTTGTATTGGTGCTGGAACCCTCGCCCTACCTTACGCTTTCAGTCAAGGCGGCCTAATTTACAGCAGCATAGTCTTCTTCATGGTCATGGTAATGGCTATCCTGGTCGGGTTTCTTCTCTACGATGCTAAGAAGTACTCGCACGAGATCTGCCCGGGGCTGGAGGTGAAGGGATACGAGGACTTGGCAGAAGGCTCGTTCGGTGCTGTTGGAAGAGTAAGAAAACTGTACTATACAAACTGCAATAATGAATACTGTTCATGTATGCCATTGCATCTTACATTGTATGTACATGGTCTGATTAAATTTTGGCACCTTTGATACCTTTGATCTTTATGATTGTACGATTGTCTTATCTCTTTCTTTTGAAGGATGTCCTGTAGCAGTTAGTTTTGTAAAGTACCATACATGTACATGTGCTTGTACTTGGATGATTTATAGATTCAAGTTAGCAGTTTTAAGATGACGAATTGATCTGTTGGTTAGCTGAAATTTCCTTTAAAATTTCCCTCTTAATGGACTTACCTTGCACATGTATTTTAGAGAGAAGTAACAAATGTTGCACCATGTAGTAATTGTTGATAAATTGTTACTGAGATGTGAATTAGATTAACCAATAAACAACTAGCTTATTGTTAATGAATCCTAATATGTAATTATCATGCAGTGTGATTCTTGGTTTTTATTACATATACACATGTACATGTACATCATAGTTCTGCCTATGGTGGTTGGGGGTGGTCGGGACAACCACCTCAACAAATGAACCAACCAGTTCATCACTTAGACCAACCATCCAATTAATACTAATAACCATACATAAAGCATGATATTGTAGTCTACTAGTATGGTGTACATAAATTTAAAAGGAACAATATTAGTCTCCAACCACCTCTAATTTATTTAAAGCAGAACCTAGCTGGTACATGTATTAATATATTATAGAATATTATCAAGAGTAGATAATAATTAGAGGAGAGTGTCCTACTGTGCCTATACCCCCTGCTTCATCACAGCGTAGAATTGAAGAGTCACATTCAGGATATTTTCAGTATTTTTGAGTAGTTATTCAAAAATAACTAGCAATAACTACTCAAACTCAATGAAAATACAGAAATAACCTGAATTTGACTCTTCAATTCTACGCCGTGATGAAGCAGACCCTATAGCCAGTAGGACACTCTCCTTTAATTATTATCTACTCTTGATATTATAATAAAGCAAAATGTATAT